AAATATAAATAAAAATATAAATAAATAAAAAAAAATATAAATATTAATTTTTTTTTTTTTTTTTTTTTTTTCTTCCAGAAATTTTAAGTATTGATGTTACTGGAAAGTTCAGTGGAAGAAAAAAATGAAGTAATGTCCATTCAGAAATTCTGGTGAGGGTCTACAGTAGTTTGGCAGAAAGTTTTAGAGAACTTTATCATTTCCTCTGGTGACAAGCTTTGTGAAAAGGATGCTTTCATTTTCCAGCAGGACTTGGGACCTCCCCACACCGCCCAAAGTAGAAATACTAAAGCCTCAGTCGGGTTGATTGTCCTGGCAACTGGCCTGACCTACATCCCACAGAAAGTCTGTGGAGTATTGCTCAAAGAATGATGACAGACACCAGAACCAAGAACTCGGATGACATAAAGCTGGGCTTCCCAAACACCTCAACAGAGTGAAGCGGTGATCACCTCCAGGCCTAACTGCCCAGATGCAGTGGGAGTGTAGCGCTGCTCTCTGGGGCCTGCAGGGAGTGATGGCAGCATGAAAGATACCCAGCCAGATAATAAGGTAGTATGCAGGGAAACCATGAGCTACATGACATGTTTTTGTTGTTGATTCTGTTTTTCACATAGTCTGTGGTTAAAGTGTGTCTGCTGGAGATTGTGCATTTTAATTGATTATTTTTTGTTTGTGTACAAGTTGAAGTAAATATCCAGTGTCACAAGCACATTCACAGAGCAAAATGGCCCTATTGGGGCAATAACTTATAAAAAAAGTTATGTATAAAAAAAATAAACAAAGGCAAGCCCAGAATGCATATTGCAGTGCAAATATATACTTTTCCTTTCCACTCAACTTCCCATCAATATGCTTTGAAGCAGCACTCAAAACTCACTACTGGGTTGACATTTCCGTACCAAAAATAATTTCTTGTTGGTCTTGTTGAATATTATTAAAAACGCCATAAAAGCTGAAGCTTGGATTTTTATTAACTCTAAGAAATAATATTCAAAATGAACGTAAATAAAGAATTAAAATATATCACCGTGTTAGGAATTGATACATAATTTTCACATTTCCATTTCACTTTATTAAAATACGTTAAAGATTCTCCATTTCACTGAGCTGCTCGTATAAGTAGATAAAAGCAAAGCATTTAACGTTTTATTAAAGAAATTTAAACTGAAAGAAAAAAATGGAAAAGAGACGGATAAATAATTCTTGTGCTTAAATATAATTCTAATGTTGCGACAGAGAAATCTGAAGCACGTTTTCTCCTTGTGTGCGTCACGAAAGACCTGTCAGAACAGAGGAAGAAATTGTCAGAGGGAAGTCTGGCTGTAAGTAGGGTTTGTGCAACAGCACAAAAAATGTTGTGCAATAGAAATAACAAAGGCAAATGAGAAGACAGAGTACTACTATGTA